TCCAGGGAGGAAGCATCTTGCCCCTGTGAAGGGTCAAACACACAGAGCACAGGATCTGAGTCTACAAGGAATCAAACTCTTCCTTCAAAGGAACTATCCTGAGACATCTCCATAGCATCCCTCTTTCTGCAAGAGAGAAAGCAAGGGGATGGGAGGGTGCTCAGGCTGCTTCACTCCCACAGCAGCACTGCCAATGCAGGCTGGCATACCCCTCCAGCTGTGCCAGGCAGAGGCACTTTGGGCTGGGCCATTCACATCCCTCTGGGCACATAGTTGGTTTCTGTCTACCTTTGCACCCCTAAATGTTCACCTCTCTTGAGAAACAGGGCAGGAGGCTGAGGGTCACCCCCTGGCCTGAAGCCTGCTTCCACCAGTCCCACCCAGGGGCATTTCTCAGGTGACCACTTCTGCCCCCCGAAACCCCAGCTGCACTGCAGTTCCTATAGCAGCTTGCAAGGGTGGGCCCCCTGCCCCTGCCTGCGTGTGTGCGCAGCTCCGGCCGTGGGGTATTTAAGGGATGCAAATGCGGCAGAGTCAGCCCCGCTGGGTCAGCAGCTGTTCTGCGCTCCTCACTCAGGCACTTCGCTGTCGCAGGGTGCAGGGGACTCTGGAAATCCTGATGGATCCAGGGGAAGGCTCAGGGTCCTGCGCTTCCTTTGCTGCTCCTTACAGGTACTGAAGTGTGAGCAGTGCTGCGTGCTATCGGCACGGCTCCAGTGCCAGACAGCTCGTCGTAAGCAGCAGGAGAAAGTGCGGGGTTGTTTAAGGGGTCTCCAGGAGAAGAGAAAAATGGGGCCAAATTCTGCTGTTTGATCCTGCAACCAGTGGAGTTACCCAGGCAGCACCTGGCTGGGGGCATTTCCTAGCCCTCTACCTGAGCGAGACCCCCCCTTGGGCTTCAAAGGACTCCTGTAGAGAAGGCTCTTTGGGTAAATCTGATATCTTTTATTAGAGCAGCTCAAATAGTCGGAAAAATTCTTCTTTGCAATGACTCCAGTGCTATTTCACAAGCAAATCTGCTTCAGCAATAATAATAATAATAAAAAAATCCCCCTTGCTTTGTACTGAAATAGCTCCAGGGCCAATTCATGCAGGGAGCATGCTGTCTGTCCCTAGGGGCATTTTGTGCCAGGCTTATCACTCGGGTGTCTCTGCACTGGGGCACTGCAGCCAGACTCTCAAGTAATGCTAAGTGGGTGATTTGTAGCACCGGAGGACACTGAGCCAATTTGTGCCAGTTGGGGATCTGGCCCCTGGCTCCCATTCAATCGTCTCACGGATCCCAGACACCACTGTAGGTGATTTCATCTCTGGTTACAGCACGTTGCAAAACTGGGAAGAGGAAGAGAAAGCCCAAAGGCAGCAGAGTGCGGTGATTCAACATGCTCTGGAGTTGCGGTACAAATCCCCACAGGAACTGGAGCTTCTGGCTCAATACCTGATTTGTTAAAACTTTGCAACACAGTGCAACTCTTGTTGGGCAAACACTAGGAGCTGAAACAACAGGAAGGAAATGCTCCTTGTTGCACTGAGCGGCACGGAGCACATTGTACTGTTTGCTGCACTGTGGTCTCTTGTTGTCCAGGGGCGCTTGTACACATGGCGCTTGGGCCAGGGCACTTGTACACGTGACGATGGAAGTACAGTATGGGAATCCTGCAGGTGGGGGAGGCCCTGCAATACAATCATTTCAGACCCTTTATTTCTAACTCACCCCCTCAAACCAAAAAAAACCCCCTCAAAAGCATACGATATCTTTCAGGAGTGGTGAGGTTTTTGCAGACTGATGTTTTGAAGCAGAAATGATTCTGTTTTCCAGAAGCAAAGGAAAGGGTGGCTTGTTTTCTTATGGGATGAAGAAAACTTTCTTTTTTACCTCCCAAGAACTCACAATGATGGACTAGGTTGCTGTGAAATGTCCAGAATTTCTATTCTGCGCCCAGCATCGAGCCTGTCAGTCCCCAGTGATATTTTGTATAGAAGTCTACATGCATCTGACTGGAGAGGGTTAAAATTGAGCGAAGCAAATAAACAGATAGGGGCCAGGGTAATGCTGAGACTAGGGGGTCAGT